AAGAAAAAGGGCATCTACAGCTGTCATACTACTTATGTGTTGTAAATGTTCTTCTTTCATTCCAGTAATTAATAGAATGAAGGCAAAGAGCTGCTATTAACATACAATTTCCTGATACAGACTGATTTATTCAGAGCCCAGACCTTTCATAATATGACCATGAACTCTAAAGATAAAAACAATCAAAAAAACTAAGCACCCCAAACAATCTAAATCAATCTTTTTCATACACAATACAAGGGTACTCACAGTTAGGATCATTCGTGAACACTCAAGGGAAAAAGGAACACTGGTCTGGGACTCCAGGCCCTCTCCTTATTGTGCCCACTCAAATGTAAATGAGAGCTTCTCTATTTACAAAATAAGAGGAAGGCCTATTCTGTATGGTTAAGATTTTTCAGTTATTTCACTGAAAACATTCCTTATCTGCTTAAACCCTAAAAATTGTTTCCAGAAAGAAAAACAAAAATATGAAGTATGATACTGTATATCACCATCTGTCTACAAATAATTCCTCAAAATAGAAGTATGCCATTCCATAAATATTAGAAAAGCTTTAAAAAGTTGTGATAATATTTTTGAGCCTAATATAATAGTAGGTTTGGAATGTCAAACTAATTTTTAAAGCAAGAACTATTATTTTTCGGCCAAGGTTTTACACTAATATTATTGAAGTAGTTGAGCTCATGGTCTAATTTCATAAGCCCATTAAAGATCAAAATAAAGTATCTCTAGTTTTATAGTTTACTGCTAATTACAGTGTGGATTGCACAGAATTTGAATTTTACATCTTGGGTAAGCGTATAAACATTACAGAAATGAATAAAGTTAGAAATCTTTTTTGGGGGAGAGGGTAGTTCTTTTTTGAAAGCTCATGAATAAAACACGTATCAAACCTGAAAGGAATAAGAATGATAAATCAAGATCACTACTATGGCCAGTAATTCTAACTGCTAAAACTGAGCTTGATTAAATAGATAAAAATGAAAAACAGAACATGTATCCATGCGAAGCAGTTATAACTGAAACCTGATAAAACTTTATAGCTATGCCCTGACTTGGAGAGACGAAGAGGATCAGTATTTATGGATTCATATTAAAAACTTCCTTTTGTTTCTAGAAAGGAAATCACTTAGTATGAATAGGTAGTCTTCTCTTTACCCTTGGGTTCTCTTCCTTTTCTTTATCTCTTGCTATTATAGTTACTACATTACTACTTTAATTCAGGAGGAGGAGGAATCTTCTCACTAATTCCTGCCACTGTGAACACAAAGAATGAGAGAAAACTACCCAAGAACTCAGCAG